GTTGTTGCATGCATGCTAAGAGACTTTTGGGTTTCATTTTCTATCTGCAATATGGAGAGAATAATACTGACCTGCAGTATTGGTTCATAGAATCGTAGAATTGTAGAGTTGGAAGGGACCCATAAATGCAGGAATCTCTACTAAAGCATCTATGACAGATGGCCATACAAACTCTGCTTAAAAGCCTCCAAGAAAGGAGAGTCCACTCCCTTCCGAGGTAGTCCATTCCACGGTTGAACATCTCTCGTCATCAGAAAGTGCTTCCTGAGGTTTTGTCGGAATCGCCTTTCAAGTTACAAGAAAAGAGATTACTATGAAGCATGAGGAATAACTTTCTGGCAGTGGCGTAGCGTGGGGGGTGCAGGGGGGGCCGGCCGCACCGGGCGCAACATCTGGGGGTTAGGGTTAGGGGCGCAAATCCACGAGTTAGGGGGCGCAAATCCACGGGTTAGGGGGTGCAAATTACTTGCCTTGCCCCAGGTGCTGACAACCCACGCTACGCCACTGCTTTCTGGTGGTGCTAGCTGTTCAGCAGTGGAAGGAACTCCCTCAGAAATGGACTCTCCTTCCTTGGTAGAGGCAGTTCTTAACAAGACAATAATGTGTAGCACTTTGAGCGTGCTTTGAAGAGCTATTCATACATTCATTCAGTTTCTGTCCCACTTTGGGATGGTGAGTATTGTCTTCCTCCCCTCATTTTAACCTTACAACAAGACTGCGAGGTAGGCTAGGCTGAAAGATAATACATCCCAAAATAACCTAGGTGTGTATCCACCTACATCTTACACAGAGAAGACACATTTAAATTAATGGACCTAACTTAATCATATCTATTAAGTGGCTCTACTCTACATAAGACTAACATTGAATAAGACCCCCAGATTGCTTCCTTGTTGAATAAGGGTGAACCTTGGTCTCAACAACACCTAGCCTGACACTCTGCCCACCATGCTAGAACAGCTCATAGGGTCATAGATTTGCAACAGACCCATGCAGCTCAAAATCCTGCCAGAAGTCACACACCATCCTTTCCTGGGTTCTGTCGCAAACAGCATCACAAGAAGTGCTCCCTAAAGACAGTCCTTTGAGTAACCTTCTTGATCTCTTCTAAGAGGATTCTTGCCACCTCCAGTTTTTAGAAGTACTCATAATTAAAAATAATGTGTTGTAGAAGTTTTTACTCAGAGTAGAACCACTGAACTGAACGGACGTAAGTTCACTGCAACCTGATATATTCAGTTCATGTATCTGACAAAGTGGGCTTGAGCTCACGAAAGCATATGCCCTATTACATTTGGTGGTTTCTAAGGTGCCTAAAGACTTTTGATTGTTTTTGCTGCAAGAGAGTCACACACAGATTCACACACACACCCCTTCTGCTCGATTAATTTGAAGGGGACTTTTTCAAATGATTAAAAGTTTTCTTTTTCAGTTGATTACCCTAACTAGTTAATCAACTCAATGTGGCTGCCCATTACAGTAGTAGTAGCCGTAGTAAAATAATAATAATAATAATAATAATAATAATAATAATAATAATAATAATAATAATAATTTATAAATGTGGGGAAAGGGTAGATGACCTGATAGCGTATCACCTGGGAACCAGTTTGATAGCCATCCAATACCTGGTGATCCTTCAAACCAGTATGTCCTCCTGAAATAAAAGATAGCTGAGATCATAGGAGCCAACTCCTATATTTGAGGGGGCTGCCCCCAAAAGTTAATGGGCATTACTGTTCAAATAGTATGCGTGCACCATGTCATGTGGTCAGTTATGCAGGGCGGGGTTTATCTGGGCCTCCACAATATTTTATTCAATTTGGCACCCCTGACTGAGATCCATCTCACTCAATATTCTTGTATTAGTTTACATTGCCAGAGGACTACACAGATAATGAGGGGATAGAATGGACTTTGAGTTACAGGTGAGGAGTACTATTTCTGCAGGCTTCCCATCTTTCTTTCTTTTTTTTAATTAATCCCTGCAAATAGAACACTAGTACTTCAGGACAAAAGGTTCTGGCATACAGCATTTTTCTGCTGAGTGCTGGTTTCCTATTTTTTAAGATGTTGGCCAGTGTTCAGAAAATGTTTTTATTGCCCACTCGGCCATTTGTACCACCATTCTGCTGAGCACGTTAATAGACTGGACTGCAAGTTCTCGGCAGGGAACTCTGCATTTAAAGCAGTACCATGCCACTTTAAACAGCTTCCCCCAAAGAATCCTGGGAACGGTAGTTTGTCAGTGGTGCTGAGAGTTGTGAGGAGACCCCTATGCCTCGCCCCCACCCCGACAGCTACTAAAGGCTCTACCGCTCTTTTACCTGCACCAAATCATCAGGACTGTCTCTGGCAAACGAGCTTGTAAGCAGGGATTGTTGGGCACCATGTGAGCACTTTGGGGAGGGAGAGGAAATGCACTCAGTATGTGCTCAAAGGCACTCTTGTTACTTTGTGCAGTGGAAGGCTGAACCGTGGGGTGCAAAACGTTGAGCTTCGCTTCAGAGTAAGCCTTGTCTCTGATAAGAATCCCAGCCTGTGTAATTCACACTTTTCCAGCTCCCTGGCTTCTAGGCATCTCTGCAACAGTTTGCCTCCTGCCCTTCATGCCTCTCTTTATTTACCCTTTAATTTTCCTTGCCCAGGCCAGCCCAACAAATATATATATATATATATATATATATATATATATCCCAGTAACATAGTAGCCAGATGAACTCCATCTCAAAGGTTAATATGAAAATCTGGATTGGATTAGTTAAAAATTACTTACAACACCATTAAAATTCTGAGCTCTTTTATTTTATTTTATTTGAGGTGGTTGTTGTGGCTGTGCATTAATTTAAAATGTCAGGGTTTTGGGTTTTTGTTTGGTTTGGGTTCTAAGTGTGTGTGTGTGTGTGTGTGTGTGTGTGTGTTCTCTTTTCTTTTCCTTGAGAAATCCAATAAGAACTTCAGCCAGCGGAGCGATCTGCAAAACTGTCTGGCACAGAGGAAAGTGTGTCTTTTCAATTGGTGAGGGGAAAAAATATGGGCCTTAACTGGAACCATATGGCAGCGCACTTGAGAGAAATCTGCTGAAAAGGAGAGGAGGGGAGAGGGAGGGAGGAAGGGGGGACTGTGTGCCAGGCAGAGGCAACAGGCAAGCTTGCTCCGCGTAGTTTGGGAAAGAAGGAAGGAAAGATACTGGTTTAGAACAGGACAGGTACATGTCCCGAGCGTGTGGGAAGGAGGCTGTAGTGACTGAGAGGCAGAGCCAACATATTCTGGTTTCCTTCCCATCTTTCTCCTTCCTTGCAAAAAACTACAACAGGCACTTGTGCAATTCTCAAGACAAAAGCACTGGGCAGGAGTCAGCATCTGCTCCCTAGATGTACCTATGTTGTTTTTTCCCAGAACTCCGGGTACCCTCTGGGTGGTAATAAATCTGTGACTATGACTCTGGGGATGGGGTGGCATGAGTGGGACACCTATACCCAGGACTGCTAGGCGACAGCTTTGGATTCTGGGGTGAAAAACAAAAATAATGGTAGTGCTGTGCCCCACCTTGCCCTAGTGATGAGCCTCCCTTGGAAGGAAGGGGTTGGACACATCAATCCATTTGGCTTTCTCCCAGTTTCTCGCTTTTCCAATCTTCAGTTTAGTTTACCCCACTTCTGCATCAGTTTGCATTTAAAAAAGAAGTCCACAAGAAAATCCGTTACGCTCTTTTGGGCGAGCTTCTCTTGATTTACACATTTTCTGTGCACACTTTACCTAATGCAACACATTTCTTTTCATGTGCATCCCCTTGTTTTACGCATTTTTGTGCATGTTTATTGGGTCAGAGAGCGGCATTGAGGAATGCAGATAATTTTGAGGGGTATCTGGGTTTCGATTTGTGTAGCAGCTTGGGAAATGGGTTTTCCCCTCACCCCTACTTGCAACCAGATGCAGGCTAGAGAGGAGAAGGTAGCATGGCAGCTGCCCTTACCTGTGTGAGCCACATTTTCATACTGCCATCCTCTTGCCTCTAACAGGTTCTGCAAGGAGCACAACAAAATAGAGACAACAGAAGTTGAGTACACACGCACACCCCTATATACATAAAATTGTAAGGCTGTTGTCACGCTCTGAAGTTGGCTGAAATAGAGGTGCCTTGGTTTTGTATGGGTGATTGCTCCCTGGTGGTTTACCACTGGCTTCCTGTGGGATAAGCCTCTAGTAAGGCTCAGTGCCAGCTCACACATGAACTTGTCTGCTTGAGTGATTCCTTGCTGTCTGAGTTGGCAGTCCAGCATCTGGAGAGTTACAAATTCCCCATTGAAAGCTGAGTTGGATCATTGGCCTGCCAGCTCCAAATTCTCCACCTCAATCTTCTTCAACCTTGGGTGCCTAGATGTTGTTAGATTACATCTCCCATTGTCCTTGTCCCACTGGCTAAGCTAGCTGGGAATGATGGGAGTTGTAGTCCCCAGAAACACCTGGGGACCCAAGGATGGAGATCATTGGCCCACATTAACTGGCAGCGGCTCTCCAGGGTTTTAGGCAGGAGCCCCAGCCTTACCCGGAGATGCTAGGGATTGAACCTGAGGCCTTCTGCATATGAGGCAGATTCTCTCCCAGCTAAGCTGTGGCCATTCCCTGCCGTACACCACTACTGTTCGGCCACCCAGGGACTGATGCCTTTGGTTTACTCAGCTGCTTAACCTCATTGACTGCTGCGGACGCAGGGAGTGGTAAAATCCGCGGCCCCAGGGCTGCCAACCTGGAAGCGCAGTTGTGATGGAGGCTTGTTGGTTTCCAGCCACCGCCACCCGTTCCCCGGGATGCGGCAGGGCGCCAGGAGCCAATACTCCTCCATTCCCACCCCCCTCCCGCCTGCCCCCCCCTGGTGTTTCTCCCTCGCTGTGAGAAAAACCCGACTTCCTTGCACTGTCTTCTGTCTGCTGACATGTGTTCCCCATTAGACCTTAATTTCAGAAGATTTACAACACATTAAGTAATTTGTAGGTTATTTCAACTTTAATCTGCTGAAGTCTCGGAGAGAGAAAAAAACTCCTGAGATGAAATTCAAAACACACGGTTCTTCAAAGTGCTGGGAATGGGGGCGTTTGGCAGGCCCCACATCTGCCTGGTTCCACATCTGCCCGAGGACTTGCCAAGTGACGCAGGCAGTGAGAAGTGCAGGCAGTCAGGTGGAACGCGGGAGCAGCTCCTGCACTGCATGCAGAACGTCCCAGGTTCACTCCCTGACACCTCCGGGTAGTTTCAGACTGCGAGGAAGTCCCTTTTCTGATGGAAACATGGGGAGCTGTTGCCAGTCAGAGCAGGCTCTATTGGGCTAGATGGATAATAGTCTGACCTGAAACAAGGATGTTTCGTCTGTGAAACCTGGTCAAAGGAAATAATGATTCTGAGTCCCGTAACAGGAATTCTCAAATTGTATGTCAGGAGGCTTTGGTCGGCTCAGAAGAGGGTGCCCGCTGCTTCTCTGTGTGATCAGCTGGTTCAAATAGCCTCAGCTGTCGGAAAGCCTCATGCAGAAATGCATGTGATTTGATTTATTATATTTCTCTGCCGCTTTTCATTCGAATGAATTGCCAAGTGGCTTACAAACAATAAATAACAATCACATAATAGAACACCAAAAACACAGCATATATCATACAGAAGAATTAACAAATCATTGGTGAAACGATTACGATCTATAAAGCACTATTAACAAAACAACTTTTTTAAAAAGCTAAACAGCACAAATATAATAAAAGCCATATTATAGGATCCACAAAGTACTGCAGCATTCATAATCTATAAAACAACATTAACAAAATAGCAACCAAAAAATGAACTAAGCACTGTGGAGCTCATACACACAGGTGGGTAGTTCTTCACAGGATGCAGAATTAGTTTGTGGAACTTCCTGCCACAATATCGTTGCTTGCTTAGGTGGTTTTAAAAGGGGAGTTGGAACCCTGAAGAAGAGCACCCCACACTCCCAGCATTTTATTGCGCTCAACAAACCAGAACACTCAAGTAAATTACAGTTGACTGCATACCTCATTGAATGCCAGCCGCAGCAGAGTCTTTCAGCTACTTCTGCAAAGGGTGGCCAAGTAATTGCCCCCCCTCCATGTTTAGAAATAGTATAGTATTGCACCCCTCTTTAGACTTCCTTTGTCTTTAAGCCAAACATGGACTAGACAGGCCTTCAAATTCGGAATGCCTTCAAACCGAGGTCTGTCCTCTTTTAAGCAGGACACATGGCCCCTCTAACTGACCCTGATTTCCTGGACTTGCCCCCCAACTTTCTCCCCCTCTCTCTCCTTCTTGGTTGTACTTGCTGCACTTGCTTTCTCTCTGCAAACGGAAGACATCAGGAGCAAAGGGACCAACAGCTGCTGCGGCTGGCAGGCTTGAAAGAAAAGGCAAGATGGTTGAATGTTTGAGCTGGCTGGGAGCCCATTGGGAAGTTCTGTTGCTTACTTCCTTGGGCTTTTGAGGAACTTTGGCCTGCTAGGTTGGCTGGGAGACAAATGCACAGAGCAAGCGATCAGTGGCTACTAACCCTGATGGCTGTCTTCTAAAGGGAAGGTAGTGTGCTTCTGAATACCATTTGCCAGAGAAGAGAGTTGCTGTGGTGCTCGGGTCCTGCATACAGGCTTATCAGAGGCATTTGGCTGGCCAGGGCAAGAACAGGATGCTGGATGAGATGGGCCACTCACCTGATACATCAGGTTCTTTCTGGAAAGGATCCATCCGGCCTGATTTGCCTAGGAAATGGCTCCCAACACAAAGAGGGAGGAGGGAGCTTCCCGCAAAGGTGGTGGCATTTCTCTGCTCGTTGCCACAGCAGAAGGGTCACCAGTCTGGGCTGGGGAGACAAATGCTTCCCCCCGCACCAGGGTTTGGCAGCTGTTTCGGACGGGCACGCAGGCTCATCCGAGCGTGCCAGGCAGGTAGGGCCTCGGTTGCCCTGTTTCTCCTTGGTTGTCTGTTAATCTCAGAGTCCTGGATCACGGCTTCCCGAGTGCCGGGGATGGAGGAGACCCTATGAAAATGATGATATGTGACAATCAGTCACAGCAATTAGTGTTTTGGTTAACAGGCCTTTTTTGTTTTCTCTCACCCAGACAGAATGTCACAAATAAATCCTCGCCTGCATTTGCATATTAATTGGATCGGAGACGTCAAGCATCTTTCATTAAAGAAAATGATCTGCATATTTGGAGACATAAAATAGTTATTTTGATGGGTTTTCTCCCCCCTCCCCCCGCCCATAAGATCAGGGGGTGGGGGAGGAAGGTGATGGGAGCAGTGAAATTGAGGTAGAGTGAAGGCAGGGGGGGGGGAGCAGCTTGGTGGGCTTAACCCCTTGTGGCTCGGCACAAATCTGCCGCTGGGTGAGGGAGCAGATAAATAAATAAATAAAGCAAGCAAGCCCCGGGAGTCATATTTTCCTTTGCAACATGCCAAGAGATGGGTTTTTCATAAAGGCACACCCCTAATGATATCCCCAGCTCTCTGTAGGCTCTCTCGCATCATCCCAAAGAGATCAGTGGGGTAACCCACAGGGATTCATAGGCTCACAGCGTTGTAAGGGACATTGGCCCTCACCTAGCTTGGCCCCTTTGCCCGGGGCAGTGAGCTTACAGTGACAGCACTCCTGATGGGTTGCCCTTCAGCCTCTGCAGAAGTGTCATGGGTCCCGTGGACATGTCATGCAGGGTATGGTCCAATCCAGAGGAAGAATGGGAGGCCAGCGAACTAGAGAGTGGCACAGCTTGATCCACAGATCAAGAAGTGACCTGCCCCAGAAACATTGGTCACCTCTAATCAGACATCTTCTGTTGTGCAGCCACCTCTGCCACCTTCTTCTGTCGGTAACGAGCCTCCTCCTTCTGGGGAGGTGGCTGAGAGTGAGTTGGATGTTAAGCTGGTGCCAACATCACCTCCACGGACACAGAGACACCAAAGCGAGCAAGCTTTGCAGGCCCAACCCATTCAAAGGTGTGTCCATTTGCTTCTCCAGTCCAGGAACTCTGGCCATTTGCCACACTAAGCACTGCATCTGCCCTGCTCTTCAAAAGGAAGATGCAGGGTGTGTTTTGCTTGTTGGATCAACTTTTTTTTTGCACCAAACATGCATCTAAACCTTTTCTTCCACCTGCTGTACTTTGTACTTGGTGCTTTGCCTATGTATCAATCTGATTTACTCATTGAAGGCTTCAGCAGAAGCAGAACTGGGAGTTTGAGTTCTTCGTCAATCAGTGAGGACCAGGGCAAGAAAAGCCATCTCCTGAGACAGACAGTTCCACTGCTGAGCTGAACTTCCAGTTTAGCCAAACCCTGCGATTTCCACTTACTGGTTCTAATTCTGCCCCCTGAAGCAGAAAAGAACGAGTCAGCTCCATCTTCATTCATGACAGCGCCCGGATAAGCTGAAAGACGGTCATGTCTCTCCTCAGGGCACATTCACATGTGAGGTTTACTGCATTAGTTTTACTGGTTGCAATGCCTCTTGCTTTCTAACATTCCTTTTACATGGCGGTACCTGTTGCGTTGCAGAGCTGTGGCTTGTTGGTCAATTATGCAGCCATGTTGCGCTTATTGTAAACGGCAGGAAAGAACTGAGTGCTGGGATACTGCTCCAGATTTCATCACAAGAAACTACTGTGCAAAAATAATGGATTTTTCTTCAGGAAACAACACGAGAATGAGCATCAAACTTCCAAAGTTTCCAAAAGCAAATTTTATGTCATGTGAAAAAACAGATAAAATGTGGAAATGATCAGCCAAGGAAAAGTCAGGAAAATAGAATAAAGTGCTGTCTGAAGGCAGGCTTAAGTTTCTCTATTCTGGGCTGAATGTGCCCAGATCTTTCAGCCATTCATTGCAGGGCTTAAAATAATAAAATCATTGAATCAAAGAGTTGGAAGAGACCCTGAGGATCATCTAGTCCAACCCCCCGCAGTGCAGGAATATGGGGTGTGGAAAGCTTCCTGTGAGGAAAAGCTGAAGGATAGGAGCATGAAAAGAGCAAGAAAAGATGTGATAGTGCTCTCCAAAGCCTTGTTCTGTGAGGTGGCGGGTGTCTGTCTGGATTGATGAGGTGGAAGGCCCAGAACCCAACAGCCAGAGACAGTGATAGCTGGAGCCAGAACCAACGATAGGCAGAACCAACTCAATCCAGTTTTGTCCCCATCTTACTTCTGCCTGCGGAGTTCTACAAGGGCAACACTGAGACTCAGGAAGAGTAAGTGGACATGCAGAGCACCTGCTTGGCATGCAGAAGGTCCCATACTCAATCTCCAGCATGTCCATGCAGGGCTGGGAATGTCCCCAGTCTGGTATCCTGGAGAGCTGCTGCCAGTCAGAGTAGACAAAGCTGAGCTAGGTGAACCCATCTAGTGGGTGACTCAGTATGAGGCAGCTTCCTACATTCTTAAATTTGGTGCTCTCACTTATTGGGCAGTCCTGAGCAAGCAGCAAAACAAATGAAATGCATTCGCTTTGCACAACTTGCGCTGAGCATCAGTAGCCCACAGCACAGGCATTTGCTATTTGCAGTTTTGTTTGAGCTCCAGCCACACACAGCTCCTGTGCAGACCTCGCCGCTGTAATGCAATGGAAATTTGGCTTCCATTTTGGGTCTACAGGAGTCCAAATAACAGCAAAGTTGTCTGTGACCAAAGGCAGCTGCTGACAGTGCTGCGTTCCTGGCATGTAATCTCCAGAGGAGATTCTCTGCAACAAAAGGACCTTTTATGCTCTTTAAAAGACTCGTGCCAGAGTCATCTTTAAAAAACTCAAATCCACCCCTCGATATTACTGGGGTGTCCCTTTCTACGCACTTTCAGCCTGCAATCTCTCTCCCTATTCCATGTTTTACCTCATGAGATATAACATCCCCCCCCCCTTTCTATCTGATCCTTGGAAGCCATTGGTATCCAGGGAACATTATCACACACACTCGAAATAACCCAGAAAGCTGCCAATCCCTTATTAGGGAATGAATCCCCGTCGGAGAGGAATGGGAAGGCACAATTTATTGACAGGCTGGTGTGAACATCTCTCGCCCTCCCCTCCTTTTGGCTCGTAATAACAGAAGCCCAGAAACCATCTCTGGAATGGGAAAGAGCCTTTAAATTGTGCCACGTTTCAAGGTACCCTTGCCTTGGCCGCTTGGTGTTTACATGGGATTTGCATCCCCGTTTTCAGAGGGCTCCTTCCAGCATTTCACCGTCACACCTTGGCATTTGGTGGTTCTGTTGTGTATGCAGGTTTTCCCCCACTGCTGCTTGTTTTCAGTATTATAAAGGTAAAGGGACCCCTGACCATTAGGTCCAGTCGTGGACGACTCTGGGGTTGCGGCGCTCATCTCGCTTTATTGGCCGAGGGAGCCGGCATACAGCTTCCGGGTCATGTGGCCAGCATGACTAAGCCGCTTTTGACGAACCAGAGCAGTGCACGGAAACGCCGTTTACCTTCCCGCCGGAGCGGTACCTATTTATCTACTTGCACTTTGATGTGCTTTCAAACTGCTAGGTTGGCAGGAGCTGGGACCGAGCAATGGGAGCTCACCCCGTCACAGGGATTCGAACTGCCGACCTTCTGATCGGCAAGTCCTAGGCTCTGTGGTTATATATATATATATATATAGCCCCGTCCTTTTTCCTAGCTTCAGTGTGGCTTGTGGAAGCCTTCACCAACCTGGCATCATTTAGGTGCACTTTGGACTACAAGTCCCATCAGTTGATGGAAGTGGTTGTCCAAAACATGGCTGTTCTGGCCATGGGTTAATGGGACTTGCTTTCCAAAACACGACTGTGCAGGAAGGGGCTGATGGGAGCTGTAGTCCAAAACATGACTGTGCTGGTTGGGGATAATGGGAATTGTAATCCAAAACATTGGGAAAGACTCCTTCCTTTCTTCCCTCCATCCTTCCATTCATGACTGAACCTGTTTGTGGAGACCCACTTTGCCACAAGCCAGGTTCCCTAGCAAGAGAGGGCAGATGTGGTGATTTGTGGCCTGCTTGGCTTTGGATAGGTAGAAGCTAAAAATGGCTTTCATGAACACACAGTTCACTTAGCAGCCAGCTGGCGCTATCAATCATCCGCCAGCACCATCAGGAAATGATTCCCAATCAATTATAATTGCTCTTTACCTATTTCCTGTGTAAATCACTTAAGTTTTTCCTTCCCCAAGTGGGAAATGCAAGAGGAAATGAGGGAGTGGAGACTTCCCTTGCTCAACCCCCTCTGCCATAGATCGACAGGGCTACTGAAGCTCATGGGGTTCAAGTCCTCTACCCCATTGAAAGGCAGGGAGCCTCCACACATCACCCCTTCCCAGATTAACCAAAACAACCAGAGTGCCTTGTCCTAAAAGCAGGTGAGAGGCACCAGCACATCATACCCCTTAAACTGGGGGTGGGGGACTTCACTGGATCTACTTTTTTAAAATTTAAAATTTTTTTTTACTGGAACCCCAAGATTGACTAGACAGAGTCTGGTGCAAAATATGCGCATTTAAGATCAAAGAATTCCAATCTCAGGAGTATGTTCTGAGTACCAGGGCAAAACTGAGCTAAGTGTCATCCAACACAAACATCCACTCTGGGTTTGTTTGTTTGTTTGTTTGTTTGTTTGTTTGTTTACTTAATGCATTTATATACTGCTTTATTATTTGCATTTCTAATCAATGTACATAAAAAACAATCCACAGAAAATGGCGCAATAAAACAGTGAAGATTTTTTAAAAAACAACAACCCCAAACTCTACCTTAAAATGCCTGCTGGGACTGGAAAGTCTTAGTTATGTTTCTGAAGTTCAGCAAGCCCCCGCCCTCCGGTTTTCTTCATTTCAGCTGTATAATTTAGTCGGGGGTATTTGAGGGGGTGAGATAACCATTTTGTTGGGTTATCAACTGGGTGTCAACATCCTTGCTGATGTGCTGCAGATTTGACTATAAAAAGTGGAAATGAAGCCCTCTCTGAGTCCAGGATCGTTAGCCAGGCTGAACTTGTCATAAGGTGGAAGGGGCTATTATACTATTATATTGATCCCTACCTATCCCTAAAGAACCCAGGCTGTTGATAGAATCACAAGCAAGTTGCTGGCTTGAAACCAAATGGTGAAGAGGTGGCAGTGTATGAAGAGTTAGGGAGCTGTCGAGTGTGTCGCCTTCAAACTTTTGTTAGAATCCTCAAGCGCGTGAGGATCTTCTCCAAAACCCCAAGCTGGCAGTCCTCATGGTTACAGCACGCAATACTCCGTTTGGTTCATGTTTGACATTCACATCAGTGCAAAAGCCCTGACAGCCGATCCCAGTTTAATTTTGCACAAATATCCAAAAGCGTATCCATCATCGTTTCAGGCTTACACGGGAGACGGCGGCAGACGGCCGTGTTTAGGTTGAAACCCACCGAGAAAAGGAGGAAGACGTCCATTGCTGGAAAGATTTGGGATACTGTAAATCGGTGGGCCGCTCGCTGGAGATGGTGTCTGTCTTGTCACTTTAATTAGTCGCCCATTGGAGGGAGGGGGCGGGTGGTGGAAGGGCAAGCGGAGTGAATCTGTGTTCTGCCAAAGGCGGTGGGTAACGAGCTGTCCCGGTGCCATCCATCCATCTTGCCCGTTATTTTATGGAGTCCTCGGACGTCCGGAGTTCTGCAGTGTTTTGTTAAGCACCGTAATGCAGAGTTTATTTAATGTGGGTTTAACTGCCTCATGCTTTTATAAATCAAAATAATTAAAAATAATAAATTTGAAGGTTAAACAACAGCTTGCGCGGTGGCTGGGAGAGGAGGCCTGCTGGAGGAGGCAGGCGTGCAGGAATGCCACTTCGGAGTTGGAAAGGCTTTTGTTTTGTCATGACATGCAGGGCAGTGTGTGTGTGGAGAGGACAGTGAAGAGTTGACCAAAGTGGGAGCTGAAGAGCAGAGACCGGTTTGTGCATACATCTGGCAGTGGGCTGCAGTCACCAGACGACACCCTTGGGTGCTTGCTGCGGCTCCCCTGGCACAACAGCCTGCCTTGCTCGCCTGCTTTGAACAGCTTTTTCCCAGCACTCCATGCTCCAGTTGCACCAGGCAACCTTCTGGGGTCCACAGGCCAGCGGCAGGCAGGATCAGAGGCTACAGTGTGCAATAGAGTCATAGAGTCATAAAATTGTAGAGTTGGAAGGGATCCCAAGGGTCATTTAGTCCAACCTTCTGCAATGCAGGAATCTCCACTAAAACATCCGTGGGCGATGTCCATCCAACCTCTGCTTAAAAGCCTCCAAGGAAGGAGAGTCCAGCACCTGCTGAAGAAGTTGGTTCCACTGTCGAACAGCTCTTACTGTCAGAAAGTTCTGCCTGATGTTTAGTCCAAATCTCTTTTCTTGTAACTTGAATCCTTTGGTGCTGGTCCTACCATCTGGAGCAAGAGAAAGCAAACTTGCTCCATCTTCCATGGGATAGCCCTTTAGATATTTGAAGAGTGCCAACACATCTCCTCTCAGTCTCCTCTTCTCCAGGCGAAACATCCCCATATCCCTCAATTGTTCCAACTGAAATTAATGGGCACGACTAACTTAGGTCTATCAATTTCAGTGGGTCTTATCTGAGCAGCATTGAGTTGGAGACCACCGTAAAGCCTTTCCACCCACACAACTTTATTTTCTGGTCGCTGGCTGACTTAAGCCCTGCCTCTGAGCTTAAAACAGGTCATTAACACACCCAACATCTTTTCTGTGTTTTTTGAAGCTCAGAATTGCTCCCTTGGGGTTGCTGGGAATGGCAGGACGAGGTGGTGGGACCCGTGGAGACTGTGCAGCCCCCTCTCTTTCTCTTTGCATATTCTTCTTGTGTCAGCTTGATAAGGAATTTGAGGGCTTTATCAGAAATACCAATGCCTTATTTAGCAGGGTGAGGCAAGTGCCCATTTGGCTCCTTGCAATCTGTTGATAAATGGCAAAAGAAAGGAAAGAGGAGGTAGGAAACTGGTGCAGGCGGGCAGTTTCCCCCACCTTCCCCGATTGCGCTTGCACTTTGAGACAACTGATAACAAGGATTTGCTCGCCGTTCAGCGTTTCCTATTTTTATTCACAGTGGAGAAATTCCTCTCCCCTCTGTCTGTCTGTCTGTCTGTCTCTCGCTCTCAGTTTTGACCAGTCCTTGTTTGCTTATTTAACAAAGTGTCATGCAAGGACTGGTGGAAAGTGACACTGATTCCACCTGCTTTGTTGGAGAGGGGTTCTCTTCAGTTTGTTGGCATCCAAATGTGGGTTTCAGGGTAGGCCTGTGATCCTATGCCCTAGAGGTTTGGAACTTGTTGCCCTCCGGAGGCGGCTGTACTCTCAACTACCATTAAACTCCAGTGCAAAAGTTGCTCGGACAGAACAGGCACAGCTTACCATCTTAACACCCTTTTAAAAGAGCATAGCAGAGTCCTATGGATATTTACTCAGAGGCAAGCCTCACTGAGTTCATTGGGACTTGCTCCCAAGTACATATAGGATTGCTGTCTAAGCTAGCAGCAGATATCCTTGTGCCCTGCGCGTTTGTAAACGCAGTGTCTGAAGTTACTGCTTCCTTTTGTCTCTCCTGAGTCTCTCCTGTCTGCCTCAGTGGAACATCCTGAATTCAGCTTTCTATGGTAAAGGTAAAGGGACCCCTGCCCATTAGGTCCAGTCGTGGCCGACTCTGGGGTTGCAGTGCTCATCTCGCTTTATTGGCTGAGGGAGCCGGCGTACAGCTTCCGGGTCATGTGGTCAGCATGACTAAGCCGCTTCTGGTGAACCAGAGCAGCGCACGGAAACACCGTTTACCTTCCAGCCGGAGCGGTACCTATTTATCTACTTGCACTTTGACGTGCTTTCAAACTGCTAGGTTGGCAGGAGCTGGGACCGAGCAACGGGAGCTCACCCCGTTACGGGGATTCGAACCACCGACCTTCTGATTGGCAAGTCCTAGGCTCTGTGGTTTAACCCACAGGGCCACCCGCATCCCTCAGCTTTCTATGAGCAAAACCCAAAAGCTATGCTATGGTTGGGTAAAACCTTTGTTCGGATCAACCAAAATGTCACAAGGTGTGAGCAAACACTCAAATTGAATGTGAGCAAACTCTCAAACTCTCAGAAAGTTTAGTCGGCTCCCAACCAAATGGACCAACACACCTAGCCAGGGCCTGCCCAATACATTTTGGCAACTGAGACAAACCACAAAATGCTGCCTCCACCAGCACCACCAGGGAAGAAAGGGTGAGTGAAGATCTACACCAGGAGCAAGTGAGGAATAGAGATCTACGTTAGGAACAAGGGGAGGAATCAAATCAACCTTACCTGACAGTTGAAGTGGGAATCAGAGGTCATCACACAGTGGTGGAAAGGGGCTTACTCTGAATCATGCTGGGTGAGTGCAGAGCCCAGGAAACCCCAGAGGGCAGCCTCTGCCATTTCCTCCCTAGGAATGAGAGGAGATCAGCAGCGCTTTCTCCAAGAGATCGCTGTAGAGGCGGCATTGTAGGGGGGCTGCCAAAGAGGCAGCAGATCCTACCTCCTACGCTGAAGCTGTGGCTGCAGCAGCAGGAGTTGTATTCCCTGGAGGCTGGATCTGCTGCCCTTCTGGATCCTGCCGCCCGAGGCAGTTGCCTCACCTTGCCTCATGGGTGCGCTGGCCTAGCTCTTCGCTTTGAGTGTTAGGCAAGAAGGAGACCAATAGCTACATCATGCATACTCCCCCAAAGTCATCTTTTATTTTCTTGGGCCAAATATTAGCCACTTTAGCATGGGTAGGCAAACTAAGGCCCAGGAGGCCAGATCTGGCCCAATCGCCTTCTAAATCTGGCCTGTGGACGATCCGGGAATCAGCGTGTTTTTACATGTGTAGAATGTGTGCTTTTATTTAAAATGCCTCTCTGGGTTATTTGTGGGGCATAGGAATTTGTTCTTTTAATTCCCCAAAAATTATAGTCTGCACCCCCACAAGGTCTGAGGGACAGTGGACCAGCCCCCTGCTGAAAAAGTTTGCTGACCCCTGCACTTTAGCCTTTCCTTGTGAGGGTTCCCAAACCATTTGCATAATGTTATTTGCCCTTTTCTATGCAACTTTACCACCTCTAAAATATCTGGTTTGCAATTTGGGGATCAGCTGCGAGCAGCCTGATGAAAGGGAGGAGAGGGTCTGATTTTTATTAATTTACAATAACAGGGATTAGATTCTCTCTCTCTCTCTCTCTCTCTCTCTCTCTCACTCACACACACACACACACACACACATACATATACAGTGCTTTTTTTCCTAAAAAAAATATTTAGGAGTACTTCCTACTCATATTGAAATACTGCCTCTCAATGAGGCCGAACTTAGATTCACAAAATATTTAGGGGTATGCGTACCCCTGCATCCCCCCCCCAGAAGAAAAGCACTCTGGGTGTGGGTGTGGGTGTGGAGAAAGAGTAAAACAAGCCTACAACAATAGGAACTACATGCTTGTTCTTTTTATATAAAAATAAAACAAATCTTACAACAATAGGGACTAGACGCTTGCTTATTTTTAAAATAAAACAAGTAGAAGCTGAAAACACAGCCCTGCCCAGTGCTGATTCAGCATTGGGGTTCTTGTCTGCCATTGGACTGTTTCAAAACCAGGAACTCTTTTCCTTGGCTACCTGTGTATGAAAATAGGGTGAGTGGGGGGAGCACCAGAGCAAAAATGGGTCCTTGGGACAGTTCAGCAACTTTGATGAAGCTCACTAGTAGGTATCAATATCCTGATTAGGATTAATTCGAGCAGCCCAGAGTTTGCCAGTCTCTGATAATCTAATAATAATAATAATAATAATAATAATAATAATAATAAATAAATAAATAAATAAAATTCTCAGGGCAGTTTTTATTCTGGAGGAGGATTTGTGTGCTGGACGCTGGAAGAGTTGGAATTAGCCCAGATGTGGCAGGGAGGGGGGTGGCGAAAGGGGCGTGGGAGCCAGACAGGCAGCAAGGGTAAACGGAGCTGACAGGGTCAGCCAGAGCTTTTGTCCCTGCAGGCGGCGTGATTAGAGAGCTTGCCCGCCCAATTCCTTAGACTTTAGGGATGTTGTCGGACAAAACGGGGGTCTTCGTTAATTCCGCCAGAGCGCAAGCGAGATCAGACTTGACATCCCAGGAACCCAATTCCCCTCTTTTTGAGCAAATAAATAAATCCCGTCCCTGCCGGGGATGGAAATAATCGTTCAAACGAGGCTTGTCAAAGCCCACTTCTAGCTTCGGGGGGTGGGGTGGGGGTTGATGGTGGTGGTTGGCCCTTTTCGAAGCTGCTAAGCCTGAGAGGGAGTTTGGGAGCATGTGGGTGGGCCCAGGCGCTTGGGGGAAGTAGCTCCGGAGCAGCAGGCTGTGGCTAGCGGAAAATTAAATGCTGCAGCGGAGATTTTGGGTCTAGCAGCAAGGCCCGTGCCGTTCTTCATCGCTCAGCTTCACTGACAGGGTTACGCCCTCATCTGTCTGGAGGGCTCTGCGCGTTGCCACCCCCACCCCCAAGGAAAATAAAAATGTGTTTTCTGAATGTTCCTGTAAATAGTTTGACTCCTTATCACTAGCGTTGAAAACTTCCAGTCTGAATGTGGCCTTCCAGTTACCTCTGTCAGGCCCTCAGGACTCTTCCCAGGTGACACCCCCTCACCACCCAAGCTCTCTACCCTCCTTGAGTGCTTTTGCCAGACTTCACCATCATAATTAAATTTATATACCACCTTTTCTCCCAAGGAGCTCAAAGCAGTGTACATGGTTCTTCTCCTCCTCATTTCATCTTCACAATAGCCCTGTGAGGTAGATTAGGCTGAGAGGCAGTGACTGACCCAAGGTCACCCAGTGAGCGTCATGGCTGGGTGGGGATTCGAACCATGGTCTCCCAGGTCATAGTCCAGCACTCTAACCATTATGCCCCACTGGCTCTCTGGGACTCACCCTTGAGCTGCCACATGACCTCTTGCTTGCCTGGTTGGAAGATGGAAAGGTAGGAGCCATTTGCTTTTGCGTGGTTGAAAGGTATGAGCCATGTTGCTCCTCCCACTTTTGTTCCTGGCCCTGCCTACCACCAACATGCTGCCCAGGAAGCCCCCTCCCCTAAGGAATGTGAACTCCAGGCTCCTCACCATATCTGAAGCTGTATACAGTGGTACCTCAGGTTAAGTACTTAATTCGTTTCGGAGGTCCGTTCTTAACTTGAAACTGTTCTTAACCTGAAGCACCACTTTAGCTAATGGGGCCTCCTGCTGCTGCCGCGCCACCGGAGCACGATTTCTATTCTCATCCTGAAGCAAAGTGCTTAACCTGAAGCACTATTTCTGGGTTAGCAGAGTCTGAAGCATATGTAACCCGAGGTACCACTGTACCTCAGCATAAATATGCTTCAGGATAAGTATTTTCGGGTTGTGCTCCGCGGTGACCCGGAAATAACAGAGCGTGTTACTTCCAGGTTTTGCCGCTCGCACATGCACAGACGGTCAAAATGACGTCACGCGCATGGCACGCGTTTTGCGGAAGTGGCAAAACGCGACCCACACACGCGCAGACGCGTAGTCACATCTTACGTTCTATTCAGGATGCGAACAGGGCTCCGGAACGGATCCCGTTCGCATCCCAAGGTACCACTGTATTCTTCCTCCGTGGCATGTTGCTAGACAGATTCTGTATAGCAGGGAAGAGAAGGTGTCACTTTGCTCATCCTCCTTCTGCACTGGCCTAAATCAGTCATTCGGTTTGCTAACCAGTCCTAGCTATGCAAAGCCTGTGGGCCCAATCCACCCTATTCCAGAGAAGGTGACCTAAGGTGCTAAGTGGCTGACAACCTGCCCAAAGTGATAGCTGCCTTCCAGAACCCGGATCGCATTCGGGGTCTGTGGTGCAGCCATTGGCTCTACAGGTTATGCCTAAAGCCTAAACCAGGTGCTTTAGACTACAACTTCCATTGGCCCCAGCCAGCACTGGCTGGTTTGGATGGCGCTTGTAGTGTGAAGCATCTGGATATGTTGCTTTTTTTTGCCTTTTCTGCTTGCAATGGGATAGTGGAAGGGAGGCAGAAAAATAAATAAATAACTGCGCCAGTGGCCTCTTCCAAGGCTTTTTTCCCCTTTCGGGGCGGAGGGGCGCACATAGCATGCATGATTGTCGTCTTGATGAATTCCCCCCGGACGTAATGAGCTGGTTTTTCTGCTGTTAATATTGCATCTGCTGATGAAGGCTTCGTTAGGATAATGGAACGAAGCTAAAATATAAATGACTTGCTGTCAAGAAACAGCTTTTGCTCATGTTCTCTTGACAGTTCCCGGACTGTGGTGGTGGCAGCGGTGGGGAAAGAGGGTTCGGTGCGTGTGAGCTTTTGCATGTGCTCCGTGGGCTGTGCACACGTTCCCCCTGCAAGGCACCCGCCTAGGCTTGCAGCGAGCGCCAGTCACGAACCTTGGAGGATCAGGAACTGGGTGGGTGGGGCATCTTGCTGGGCAGTTCATGGAACAAACCAGCGTGCTGCAAAAGCCTATACCAGGGCGTGTTGACTTTCTCAGCTATCAAATTCCCAAAATGAAGGGTGTTAAAAACTTGTAGCATAACTTGGGAATTCAAAAGATATTTTGGTTAAGTTAATATAATTCAGTTTTGCTCGGTAAGTACAGGTTGCAAACATTTTGAGCGCGTTCAGTTGCCATGCGACTGCCGACACATGGGCCGTTTTGGACCTGGAAGACGACAGAAGGGGGGCATAATAGGGAAAGGGCTTAACAGGGGCGTAACAGGGCAGGGCAGTCTTATTGCACACTGCTGATGCGTGCAGGGTCAAGAAACTCAACCCCCTCGGAAACTAGGGGGTTGCCTGTAAAATTGCAAAGAAAGAATTAAAAATGATTGCCAAGGACTTGCAGGTAAATTATTTTGTTGTTGTTGTTTTGATGTTGTTGCTGCTGCTGCTGTTATTAATTTATTTATTTAGTGTTACCTGACATTTTCAGGTAAAATTAAAATTCTTTGGTTTCCCAGGAACAGTTTATGCGCTTTTTGATCAAACGTAGACTTAACCTGCTAAATATTGCCCAGTCACAAATATAATAGCAGATATGAATTCTTCACAACTAGAAACATATTTTTATGAGCCCTGACTGAATAGATTTGCAAAAATTAAGTTTCTCCTCCCACCCCCACCCCACCCCCCAAAAAATTACACACCCTAGTGGCCTATGACTCAGAATGGGAGGAAGTAGCAGATCTGGCAAGTTTTTAAACCTTTCGGTAATAACTCTCCAGGATTTCAGGCAAGGAAACTTCAAGGAAACCTGAAGATTGAACCTGGCACCTTCTCTGCAGCTGAATTGCAACCCTTTCCTAGCAACTGGGCAGTGGAGCTTTCATAGACTGCAAGAAGTGCTGTTAAGTCCAGACTTTTTCTTTGGGTGGGTGGGAGGAGCTTGGTCAAGATCCTTGCAGTGGGCCCCCATCCCTGAGTAATGCCCATTTGTCCCCCTCTCCCTGAAATCCGCACCCACTTCAGAGGGAGAAGCCACATCTGCACCATACTTTTAAAGCATATTTATCACACTTTGACAGTCATAACTCCCCCTCTCCAAAGCACCCCAGGGAACTGCAGCTTGCTGCTCACAGAGCTACAGTTCCCTGCACCCTGAACCAACCACAGTCCTTGGGATTTTTTGGGATTTGTGTTTGGTGAGAGGGGGGCATTCCACCCTGCAGAGAACACACATGGCAAGGCCATGAAAGAATGCTTCCTGTCTCCCCGAGTTTCAGTGAGATGGGGGCATTCTGGCAGCTGCAGAAGTGGTAATATGCACCACTGAGGAAGGGCAGGGGGCGGCACGGCCCCATTTTGTTTCAGGTGGCGAAGCTGGACAGGCCGCCCCTGTGCCCGACAAAGCCAACTCTGACTTGAAGGCCTTCAGTTCCCTTCCCGACAAGCAGCTGAGACATTAAACTAATGTGAACTAGTACCTTGTGTGGCAATAGACGCGGGTGGCACTGTGGGTTAAACCACAGAGCCTAGGACCTGCCGATCAGAAGGTCGGTGGTTCGAATCCCTGGGACAGGGTGAGCTTCTGTTGCTCGGTCCCTGCTCCTGCCAACCTAGCAGTTCGAAAGCATGTCAAAGTGCAAGTAGATAAATAGGTACTGCTCCGGCGGGAAGGTAAATGGCGTTTCCGTGCGCTGCTCTGGTTCGCCAGAAGCGGCTTAGTCATGCTGACCACATGACCCGGAAGCTGTACGCTGGCTCCCTCAGCCAATAAAGCGAGATGAGTGCCGCAAACCCAGAGTCGGCCACGACTGGACCTAATGGTCAGGGGTCCCTTTACCTTTACCTTTACCTTTACCTTGTATGGCATTGCTGTTTCCAAGGATGTGAGCTCTGCGGTTGCCTGAGAAGCTGCAGTCTCAGAGCAGGCATGTTTACGTGTGTGAGTCTGAGCCTTCGCCATAGGGAGAGGGAAAGTTTAACAAATATATATTGAAACATGCCAGCTTCCCACAGTAGCAGCAAGGAAAGATCTCTTTTCAAACGCGGCTTTGTATAAACGGCTGCATTGTGTTTCATTCCCTAAGTAGCAAGAGAACATAGCAGGTCAGCATGATCTGACCAGGTTTTTGTTCGCTGAAACGGCTGTTAGCTGCGTTCCCTCTGCCCCACACCACCTTGCAAGTTTGCGTCAGTCTTTGTCTGCTTTTTGAATATTAGATTGAAGTAGTGATACAGGAAGAAAGAAAAGGAAGTGTTTTAGCCCAAATAATCTTATTCTCTCTTGGGGCTGTGGGGTGATGGTGAGGGAGAGGGCGGCTTCCCTTTCAAAATTTTATGCAAGCCAAAATGGTTTTTCTCTCCCAAATGCACAAGGAACGACAGAGTTTTGCTTTGAGTCAAAAGAATATTATTTGTTAGTTTGTTTATTAACTTTCTGTCCTGCTCTCCCTCCCGAAGTAGCGCAGGCCATGAAACAATGAGGCGGCAAAACAATATAATAAATAATAAACATGTGAAAAGGATCTAGGTGTCTTATGAGACTACAACCTTAATATGTGTCAACAGTGTGATCCAACAGCAAAAAAAGCTAATGCTATTCTAGGCTGCATTCTAGTGTCCTGACCAAGGGAAGTAATAGTCCCACTCTTCTGCCTTGGTCAGACCACACCTGGAATGCTGTGTCTAGTTCTGGGCACCACAATTTAAGAAGGATATTGACAAGCTGGAACATGTGCAGAAGAGGGTGACCAAGATGATCAAGGGTCTGGAAACTCAGTCTTATGAAGAATGGTTGAGAGAGCTGGGTATGTTTAAACTGGTAAAGAGAAGACTGGGAGAAGATATGATAGCCTGAAGGGCTGTCACATGAAAGATGGAGGGTAAGAGCTGTTCGACAGTGGAACAGACTCCCATGAGAGGTTGTAGACTCTTCTTCCTTGGAGGGCTTTCAGCAGAGGTTGGGTGACCATCGGTCTTGTATGATTTAGTTGAGATTCTGGCATTTCTGGAGGTTGGTCTAGACGACCCTTAGGGTCCCTTCCAACTCCACAATTCTATGATTTTATGATTTAATAGCAATAAGAAACACTCACATACTATAACAATTTCAAGGTAGCCTGGAGCAGTATCTTTCAACCATCAAAATGCCTGGGTGAACAGCAATGTTTAAAAAATTGACCTGAAAGTCAATAATGAAGGGGGCTGATGTACCCCACCAGGGAGGGCATTCCTCATAAGGGGAACCACCACGAGGTTCTCCCCTGCTGATTGTAGGGCCAAGATGGAAAATACTCGGGAAGGCGTTCTTGAATTGGAGCTGGTAGCTCACTCTTAGGCTCTCAGATTCCAACCCCAGATAATTTTCATTTAGGAGTTATTAATTTTGGTGGGGATTACACGATTCCTTCCAAGGCATACCGATATGATAAACTTTTACTAGAGAGCTCCTATCTCAAAAGAAAATGAATGTACACATCAATTTATCATCAGGTATGACACCAAATGTAAACCGGATTAATCCCTTGGCTGCCCTCCTTTTCAACACA